ATTTTTTTTTTTTAGGTGGATGTACCCGTTTGAAAGATTTATGTACCATTTGAAGAAAAATGCAAAACAAAAAGCCTTTGTTGAAGGATCAATTGCTGAACAGTATATCAATGAGGAAATATCATTCTTTACCTCATATTATTTTGAAGATAATGTGGCAACAAAAAGCAGAAGTATAAGAAAATCATCCCATTGCGATGATGGTCCTAGTTATCCGACGAATGCAAATATTCCCCATATATTTGACAGAAAAGGAAGATGTGGTGGTAAGGCCAGCGATGCCTACTTATCTGAAAAAGACTATCATGTGGTACATACTTTTGTATTGTTGAATTGCGAAGAAGTACTACCTTTTGAAAGGTTCGTTTATACATTTAATTATTTATGGCGTACAATTTTTTTACATTAATTCATTTACAAGTTTTTTTCATTTTATTTTGCAGGATTTTTGATGAACAAGTATACAACATGTATGGTGACGTAAATGACGAGGAATTGACCAAAATTAAAGAAAAAGGGTTTGCTACATGGTTAAAAGAATATGTAAGAATTTTGCATCAAATTTCTTATTTAAACCAATTTTTAAGATCGATCAAGTATATATTGATATTTAAACAACCTATTTTTTCTTTGTTTTGCAGATTCGAACGTCACCAGAAGATCATCCATTGTGGTTGCATGAGCTAGTTCAAGGGCCCATTTGTCGTGTTACATGTTGGCCTATATTTTTTACCAGAGGCTACGTTTTCCACACACATGAACACGGACAACATCGTTCGACACATAATTTTGGTGTTTCTGTGAAAGGGTCAGAGTACTGTGCATCTGATAACGAACCCGATTTTTACGGACTACTGCAGCAGATTTTTGAACTCCAATATGCAGGTCATTTTGGACTCAAAGTGATGATGTTCAGGTGTGATTGGTTTGATCCTACACCCATGCGAGGGATCAGAGTCAACAAAACAGGTGTTTTTGACATATGTTACACACGTCGATACGGAAAATATGATCCTTTTATATTGGCTTCTCAAGCAGATCAAGTGTGTTACATCCCTTATCCGAAGAAAATTACAAGAAGGTCAGACATTGATTGGCGAGCCGTCGTGAAGATCAACCCCAGGGGAACTATTATTCAAGAAGAAAATGATGAACAAATCCCGCTTCAAGATGTCGATCAAGTCATTATTCAAATTGAAGACACGATTGAGGTTGGAAAGTTAATAGCCGAAGAAGGAGTAGTTGAAGAACTTGCAGACAATAATGACGAAGAGCAGGATAATACCGATGAGTCGGATGAAAAAACAACAGGAACTTCTGAATATGGTTCTTTTGATTAATAATAACTTTTTTTTTATGTATGAAATACCGATTTGTATTACAAATATTGTACTTGAAATCAAAATATTAGTTATCTTAAATTTTTTTCATTTTATTTTTTTTAATTATTGCATTATGTTGCGACCGACAATATCTGTCGCAACATTGTCACAAAATGTCGGCAATAATCTGCGTCTCCCAATTAATCAGTCGCAATGTCCACGTGTCTCCCCCTTTAATGACACAGCGACAGATTGCGACAGAATTAATCAGTCGCAATGTCCACGTGTCTCCCCCTTTAATGACACAGACACCGCCGCATCACCGCCGCCGCTCCTTCGCCGTCACCGAGGTAAGTTTCCAATTTTTTGCAGAAAAAATTTCCAATCGTTTCGATTTTTAAGTGATTTTGGTTCGGATTTAAGGTTGTGGGCGAATTATTTTAGGGTTTAGAGTAAATTTTCGGGTATAGGGTTTAATTTAGGGTTTATTTCGGTTTTAGGGTTTGTTTAGGGTTAATTTAGGGTTTAGGGTTTATTTAGGGTTTAGGGTTTGTTTAGGGTTAATTTAGGGTTTAGGATTTATTTAGGGTTTAGGGTTTGTTTAGGGTTAATTTAGGGTTTAGGGTTTATTTAGGGTTTAGGGTTTGTTTAGGGTTAATTTAGGGTTTAGGGTTTATTTAGGGTTTAGGGTTTGTTTAGGGTTTATTTAGGGTTTAGGGTTCATTTAGAGTTAATTTAGGGTTTAGGGTTTAGGGTTTAGGGATTAGGGTTTGTTTAGGGTTTAGTTAGGGTTAATTTAGGGTTTAGGGTTTATTTAGGGTTTAGGGTTTGTTTAGGGTTAATTTAGGGTTTAGGGTTTATTTAGGGTTTAGGGTGTAATTTGGGGTTTATTTTAGGATTTAGGGTTTAGGGTGAATTTAGGATTTAAGGGTTTAGGGTTTAGGGTTTATTTAGGGTTTACAGTTTATTTAGGGTTTATGGTTACTTTCACGGTTTAGGGTTATGTTTAGGGTTTTAGGGTTTATTTAGGGTTTAAAAACACGTCGCTAGATTTTAGGGTTTATTTAGGGTTTTAGATAGCTTTTTTAGTATTTAGGGTTTAGGGTTAGGGTTTACTGCTAGTTCACGGGTTTTCATGATTTTGTTTTGTTATATGTAACTTGTAGATGAGTCACTCCCATTCTAGTGGTCGTAGTGGTAGCGGGGTACGATCCCGAGGACGTGGGATCGGATCATCTAGATCACCATCTGTCCATCGGTATCAGGTGGTAGTCGATCCTCCTCGACTTGATGTACCTTTCACGGGTGCGGCTTCTCCCCAATCCGTGAATGAAGGTGCATCTAGTCATGGTGCATCGCTATCGGCATCGTTGCAGGAGATTCTAGCGTCTGCAGAACGTCGTCTCCGACCTCGTCTAGATCCGGATCGTTCCCCCGGTTCTATTTGGTATGTATTTTTATGCATATAATATATATTTATTTTAATTTCTTTTAAATTAATTTTACGAATTCGATTTTTACAGGTTTGGTCGTAATAACGACGTGATTTCATCCGTCGTTAGCATCTTTCAGTCGGACTTCAAAGGTCCGTGGCGGAGTTTCACCCGTGTCCCTCCATCTGATCTGCAGCGTTGGTTTGGAGCTTTTGCGGTAAGAATTTTGGCACATAGTTCAATT